CCCCCCAAGAGCTGAAGCCTGAACCGGCCGGGTCTCCCCCAGGCTCCCCCTTCCTAGGCGGGGCACCCCAAGGCGGAACCTCAGCCCCCACTGAGCCACCCAGCCCCCATTGCTCCGGAGGGTGGGCGTGGGGAGGGCGCGCGGTGAGTTCGGGTGCGAGTTCAGAGGGGGCAAAGCTTCCAGGGGCTTCCAGATTCCCAAGAGCCTCCAGCCCCCAGCTCCGGCCTTTGGGGCTGTTCGCCAAAGGAAATAGTTGCCAGAACCTCTGCCAGCGCCTGGGGGTACCAGCTCCCCTCCCCGCGGGGCTCTGCGCTCCGGGGCCCGCAAGGTGGGGGTGTGATGGGCAGGGGACCCCCCAGCCTCTGGACACAACTGTGAGCGCCGGGCAGCGTCCCGGGATCCGGGCGATACTCCCGCCCTCCCCTGACCCTACGGGCTCGCCCCCGCCACACCGCGCCCCTTAGTTCCACGCACAGCCCCTCCGGCTGCGGCCCCAGGTGGTCGCGGAGCCTGGAGGTGGGCGGGCAGCGCAGGTGGGAGCGTCTCGTTTCCCGGCCTCGGGTCTGCGGGAAACATTTTCCAACTCCCTCGAGGAATCACTCGGAAGAAAAAAAGTCTCCTCCCCTTCGCATCTCTGGTTGGCGGGTTTTGTTTCTGCTACTTTGAGGGTGGGTGTGTGTGTGTGGGGGGGGGGACCAAAAAAAAAAGAGCCAAAGTTTCTACATAAGAATGTAGCGGCCGCGCTGTGGAGCCGCAAGTGTTTCTTTTGGGGGCGCTTTAGAAAAAGCCCCGTCCCGGCTTCCTGCGCGGTCAAGGAGCAGAATAATGAAACCAAAGACTTCTATTTTATCAACCACTTGATCTTTGCTTGGGAAACTCTATTAATTGAATGGGTTTGCCTTTTTTGCCAGTCCTCTTTATCATTATTTATGGGCTTTAAATTGTTTAAAGTCCCCTTGACGTTCAATTTACAAGTTTGGGGACTTTTTTTGTTCTGCCTTTTGTCCTGGAGAAAGACATCGTGTTGGAAGCGCTTTGAAAAGCCAAACATGAGAGGTTGGCAATGAAAGGGACGCGGGCGAGATCCCTTTTAATTCCGTCCCGTTGGTGAATGGCTTTTTTACATAATTGCAGGAGCTATTTCAAAGCCAGCCAAGGGCTGACTTCACTTAGAACCACATGGAGTCTATTTTGGGCTTTCAGATTTAAAAAAAAAAAAAAACGCTGAATAAAATAGTTTAAAAAGATGAGGCTTCAATGCTTTCTGCTACTTGCAAATTGCTGTGTCTGATGGGGAATTTTATACAAGTACCCCATTGTAAGTGTGTCTTGGGCTCGGGAGGACGCTTCTGGGTTAGCTGGGTGTGAATCCCGATCGCCGTTCCATAAATAAAACCCAGCCCCAGCTATTTCCCCACTATTGCCAGGAGCAAGGGCTGCCGTAAACACCACTCAAAGTCCCTATAAATAAAAACAGCGCGTTGCCGGAGAAACCAGCCGCTCGCCCGAGACTGGGCGGGGGGCGGGCGGGGGGGGGGTGGCGGGGGGCGGACGCACCCGGCAGCTAAGCCCGGGGGGATTCTCCGCCCCCACGAGGACCCGGGGCTCCCACCCTGCCCCTGCCCACGACCACCCGCGACCCGACCCCTGGGCGCGCCCGCAGCGCGCGGCTTGGTCCTGGGGACGGGTCTGGCCCTGCAGCCCGGCCGCATGAATATTAATTTCCATGTGCATTTTGCACACCTGCGTGCAAACGCTTCCTAGGACGGCCCTGGAGCGTGGAGACAACTTAATTACCAGCACTTTTACTGACGTCTGCGGTTTTAAGTGGCTTAATAGGATCTTGACACCAGCTTGGCAGCCCCGAAGAAAGTGGTCTGAGGCTCGGCCAACTTCACCCGCCCGAGGTTCCGCGGGGCAGGGAGAAAGTTCCCGCCAGCTCACTGCGCTTGCTTCCAGAAGCCAGACCTACCCCTCGAAGCAGCCTCCACTTTTCCTGAAGGTGGGGCCGGGGGCAGCCCCAAAGGCGGGTGGTTTTCCCAAGCAGCTGGCCCAGTCCGTGTCCCCAAGGATCCTCCAATCTGAGGCGGTTGGGCGCTCTGCAGGTAGGAATTCCAAGGATGGGTAGGTTGCTGACTGTCACTCGCTGTGCATAAATCTCTCTGAAGAGCCAAGGGAACATTCCTCTCACAGCTCGAGCAATTCTCAGTCCCCCGCTCCAAAACGCTTTGCAGGTACTGAGTTGCCCCAATGACTCTTGTTAATCACAGCGAAACACGAGGACCCTTTTACGACGCCAACAGTCGTTTTCTAAACAGTTAAGCATTAGGCGAGGAAGCACGCCTGCCTGGCACTCGAGGAAAACGCGCACTAGTAAATAAAATTCATATTGATGAGAATTTTCTGAACTCCCTAATAAAAGAAGATTAGTATTATAACCCCCGCCGTCAATACTTTCCACGGCAATTTATGGATGCAAATAAGATGCCATCAAATTATTTCAAGTGTAGCTATAATTCAATGGACCTAAATCTTCTCGCTGAACTTTAAGTGCAGAATCATCACCAAAATACTCCAAGGAGTCCCCGTCTCTCCGAGGGGAACCAGGCGACGGAAGTCCCTGGAACAATATTTTGATGGCGGAAGAGCCATGAGGATGGCAAATCCAAGTGGGTGACAGGAAGACACAGCTCCGAGGCTGCTTAGGACAGAGCTGAGGAGGACCCTGGGAAGGAAAATCAAGCAGACAGTGGATGATTTTTTTTTTTTCAGTATCCTCCAGACCAGAGAACCCTACCCCAGACCGTGTGAAGCAACTAGGTCCGAAGCAGAGGGAGTCTTTATTGTGCTCATAAAGAAATCAGTCTTGAGCTCTGGGCTACTTCCCCACCCCCCTTTTCTTTTCCTTCTTTTGTAGGGACAGAGCTTAGAGACCCCACAGACACCTTGCACCCCCCCCCCATCTCCTGGAGATCCGTTCTCCCTCCAACGACCTAAGTCACCTCCGGCCTGGGCGTGCAGGAAGAGCAGGCGACAGAGGCCCCAGTCCTAATGAATTCCTTTCAAACCGCCTGCTGCCAAAGCCATCTATTACTGCATCCCGGAGTGCAGAAACGCGCTGGAGACGTCTTTGTCCCGGTGTGGGGGGCCGGGGAGGACGGGGAGGTGGGGAGGGGAGCGCCCGGCTGCGTGGTCGGCGAGTTTTCTGGGCGCCCGAGGCTCGCAGGACGCATCCTCCCACTTTTCTGGCGACCGAAGGCTGCGCGGTGGCACCCGCCCCCACCCCCACCCCCCAACTCCGGCTTTAAGTGGTGGTTCGGTATTAACACGTCCCCGGGGGGCCTGGGGGTTTGGATCCAGCAAAAGAGAAAGATGGAGAAAGAAGAGCTTCAAAGAAGCGGGTCGATAAATTCATAAAGATCGATTTATCTTTATCTCCCAATTAAATGTGCTTGTAAGTGATACATAACACACGTCCAACACGGCCGACTCCCCAACCACTAGCTCCTCGGCGTGAGCTGATTTTTAATGATCGGTGTAACAATGCCCTTCGCTCCTGTCCTGATGCCCAGCCCGGTGCTCGCTCTCGGCCAGTCCGGGGCAACTTCTCCAGCGGGGAACTTGCAGCCCAGGCCCCGGGGCGCGCGGAAGCTCCGTGCGCTCAGGCGCGCTCTGCACCGTCCGCCCATGGCCACGAAATTATTCCATCATATATATATGTCTATGCGTAAATATATATATATGGAATGCAGGGGCTGGAAGTTTGGGGATGTGCCAGAGAGAAGGAGCGAAGCCCCGTCCCTAGCCCCCGCCCTCTCCCCCACTCCCCTTCCTCGCAGCCTGGTGTTTTACCATTGTGGAGACCCGGGGCGCCGTCTTCAGAGAATCCGCTCCATCCTGCAGGAGGCCGCGGGGAGCGCGGCGCGCCCTCGAGTCCCGGCGCTGGCGACCGGGCGGTGGCGCCGGGGGAGCGCGCCCTCCGTTCCCAACGTGCTTAATTAGCGCCTATTTACAAAACGCAGCTTTTATTTGAGCAAACATCATAAAGCTTTCATCAGGATAATCTCACGTTATACAGTCTGGAGGCGCAGCGACTCCCCCTGCCTCCCCGAGCACGGAGCAGATAAAGGACTCGCTTTATTATCATAATTATCGTGGCTGTGCTTTTGGCGCGCGCAGGCAAAGTGTGCAAATAGGTGCGTTGATTAAGAATGTCACGAAAAATGGGAGCGGGTCGCTGGCGGGAGGGCCCGGCCCGGGACGCGCCGCGCGGGCCGGCAGCGCCGGGGGCGCGGGGGGCGCCGCGGGCCGCGCGCGCCCCGTTTCCCCCCGCCCCCGCGCCCCGGGCGGCCAGGGACCGCCGCGCGCCGGCCGGGGGGCGTGGGCAGGGCGGGCCCCCGGGCCCCGCGCCCGCAGGAGCCCCGCAGCGGCCGCACCGCCCGCGCGGGGCTGGGCTGCGCCCGGGTCGGCTCCACGTCAACGGAAAGGAAAAAAAAAAAGAAAGAAAATGGGAAAAACTCGCCGCAGGGCCCGGCGCGGCGAGTGGCCGGCGCGGAGGCCGCGGGAGCCCCGACACCCCGCTCCGAGGGGCGCGTCGCCGCGGCCAAGTTTTCGGGGCGCGCGGGCCGGCCCGAGGCGCCCGCCGCCCGCCCGCCCGCGGCCCGCCGGCCCGCGCGAGGGGCGGGGCCCGGCGCCGCCCCGCCCCCGGCGCCGCGCGGCCAATGGGCGGCGGCGCGCGGCCCCACGTGACGCGGGCCGGGCCGGGCGGCCGCAAAATGTGAATGGGCCGGAGCGGCGCGCTTTAAAGGTGCTGGCGGCGCCCGCCCGAGCCAGAGCGCCGGCTCCGCGCGCTCCCAGCGGCCCGCGCCCCGACGGCTGCGCGCGGGGACTCCGGCGGCCCCCCCGGGCGTCCGGCCTCTGCGCCATGCCGGGGGCCCGGCTCTGAGCGCCGCGGGCCCCCCGCGCCCGCGCCCGCCCGCCCGCCCGCCGGCCGCCCCGAGCGCGTCTATGAGCGCCGCGTTCCCGCCGCCGCCGCCGAGGATGATGCAGCGCCCGCTGGGGAGCAGCACGGCCTTCAGCATCGACTCGCTGATCGGCAGCCCGCCGCCGCCCAGCCCGGGCCACTTCGTCTACACCGGCTACCCCATGTTCATGCCCTACCGGCCCGTGGTGCTGCCGCCGCCGCCGCCGCCGCCGCCCGCGCTGCCCCAGGCCGCGCTGCCGCCCGCGCACCCGCACCACCAGCTGCCCAGCCTGCCCGCGGGCTTCTGCTCCAGCCTGGCGCAGGGCATGGCGCTCACCTCCACGCTCATGGCCACGCTGCCCGGCGGCTTCTCGGCGTCGCCGCAGCACCAGGACGCGGCGGCGGCGGCGGCGGCCGCGCGCAAGTTCGCGCCGCAGCCGCTGCCCGGCGGCGGCGGCGGCGGCGGCGGCGGCAACTTCGACAAGGCGGAGGCGCTGCCCGGCGACGCGGAGGACGGCAAGGGCTTCCTGGCCAAGGAGGGCGCGCTGCTGGCCTTCTCGGCGGCCGAGGCGGTGCAGGCGTCGCTGGGTGAGTCGGGGGCGCGCGCCCGAACCCGGCCCGGCCCCCCGCGCCGCGCCTCGGCGACCTCGCGGGGGGCAGGGGCCGGCTCCGGGGTGCGGGGGGCCCGGACCCGGCGAACCCCAGATCGGACGCCGGCGAGGCCGTGCGCGCGCGTGCGTGTGTCCGAGTCGGTGCTGGAACTTGGAGGGCTCGGAAGTTCCCCGGGACCGGCGTTACCAACCTCCGGGTCGGTCCCGTGCCCCCCCCATAAATAAATAAGTAAATAAATAAATAAATACCTGCTCTGTGATGCGTCCCTCCCTGCCCGGGCCCGCGCCGCTCCGGCTGCGGGACGAGACTGGGGCGCGTTTCCACACGCGGGGGACGCCCGAGGGGCAGGCCTGACGCGCCCCCGGCCCCGTTTCCTCCTTCCTTTGAGCTTTCTCACGACCCACCCGCCCCCACCGCCTCCACCCAGGCCGGGAAGTGACAGTGTGTTAATGTCACCGAAAGACAATCTGCCCTAGGGATGGGGAGGGGGGTGCGCGCGCGCGCGCGGGGAGGGGTGTCCAAGTGGCCGCGCGCGGGGAGGTGTAAAGGGAGGCCGGCCGGCGTGCGAAGCGTAATCAAGCCTTTTGGTTTTGCTTTCAGTCGGGGCTGTGCGAGGACAAGGGAAAGACGAAGCGAAGGCCGAGGATGACCCGAAGGGCAAGGAGGAGAGCTTCTCCCTGGAGAGCGATCTGGACTACAGCTCGGATGACAATCTCACGGGCCAGGCCACGCACAAAGAGGAAGACTCGGGCCACGCGCTCGAGGAGCCGCCTCCGAGCGCGGGCGCGGCGGGCAGCACCACGTCCACGGGCAAGAACCGGCGGCGGCGGACTGCCTTCACCAGCGAGCAGCTCCTGGAGCTGGAGAAGGAGTTCCACTGTAAAAAGTACCTGTCGCTGACCGAGCGCTCGCAGATCGCGCACGCCCTCAAACTCAGCGAGGTCCAGGTCAAGATCTGGTTCCAGAACCGCCGCGCCAAGTGGAAACGCGTCAAGGCCGGCAACGCCAACTCCAAGACCGGGGAGCCCTCCCGGAACCCCAAGATCGTCGTCCCCATCCCCGTCCACGTCAGCCGGTTCGCGATACGAAGTCAGCACCAGCAGCTGGAGCAGGCCCGGCCCTGAGGCCTCCCCAGCCGGACGCCCCGCTCCCTCGGCGGGAGCCCGCCGCCCCTCCCCCAGGCCTCAAGCTCAATTCACAGTCGCCCCCTTCCACCCGGCTTTGGTCCTCCCCGGCAAGTCGGGACCCTCCAGGAAACGGGCCGCCGAGATGGCTCCGAAGGGGCTCAGGCCGCTGAAGCTTAATATTTATTCTCCCTCCTGCTTTGTACATAGAATCTCTATAGACTGGGGCTCAGCTACCGCAATTTGAAAGTTAGGGGACCCGATCTGCCCGGGTCCTTCTGTCCGTGCACAAAAGCAAAACAAAATCCGGAAGAAATCCTGGCTGTGGTTCGCGCCCCCGCCCTGGCTCCGGTGGGGCCAGCGGCTGCCCGGAGGCAGGCGCCCCGCGCCCACACGCGTTCGTTTCTGTTCTGGCTTTTTTGTTGGGTTCAGCTGACCGAGGAGCGGACCTTGCTTGGGTGCAGCCGGATGTTGGCTTTGTGACCTTTTTTTTTTTTTTTTGGTTTTTGTATTATTATTATTATTTTTTTTTTTTGGGCCTGGCTTTTCTTTCCTGCGGGGTTGCGGCTCCTTGTCCGACCCAGGTTCGAAGCACGTCACCGTTGTGTTTAATTTATTTCAATGTAGCTTATTTTCTTATAAGTTATGACATGGAAACAATCTCGGTCTTGTGAATAATAAAAAGGAGAGAGAGAGAGAGAAGAGAGAGAGAGGCGGGTGGGAGAATAAGCCCAGCGTCCCGGCTGTGCTGAGTGAGCCGGGGGTCTGCGTGTTCTTAGAGGCCGGGGCTGCTGGTCCCCAGCCCGGGCCGGGGCTCGCTGGACTTCCCGGGCTGTAGAGTGGGCCGCGAACGCTCCGACTGGGCTACACATCAGGAAGCCCCGTTTTCCCCCTGGGAGCTGCCCCTCTGCCCCAAACACAGCCCCCTCGGGCCCCAGGAGGCTGGCCGGCCTGGGCCGAGGCGGACGGGGCGCGCGCGCGGGGCGGCGGGCGGCGTCGGGAGGCGGCCCGGGGACCCGGGAGCGCCGCGCGCCCGGCCGGAAACGCGGCTCCCGGCCCGCACCCCCGCCCCGTCGCCCGCCGCGGCCCAGGGCCCATAAATCAGGCTCCGGGTGTTCGGCTGCGGCAGCCGAGCGGGGCTTCCTCGGCCCGAGCAGAGGCGGGAGCGGCGGGGCCCGGTCTCCCCGGGAAGGGGGCGGGACCCGACCACCGCCCCACCCCGGGGGCGCGGAGCAGGGGGGCCACTGGCCGCGCGAACGGGCTGCCGAGGGCCGGGGACCGCTCGCCGGGAAGACCCGCGAGCTGAGAACCTTACCGCCTCGCTTGGGGTGTGCCCGGGGCCCCAATTCCCCGATCCCCGGGAGCTGCGCCCCGCGCGCCGTCCGCGCGCTCCTTCCCAGAGCCACCCGAGACCGCCGTGGGGCCGTCAGGGGTGCCCCGCGACGTGGAGCGGTCAGGGGTGCCCCGCGGCGGCGTGCCAGGGCCCGTGGCAGCCAGCGACCCTGAGCCGCGCGCCCCGCCGCGCTCAGCTCCGAGCCGCGGGTCAATACTGATATTGATGCAATTTATCCGGGCCACGTCCCCGGGCCCGGCTCGGGACCCGACCTCCGCCCGCACCTCGGCCGCCTTCCCGCCGGCCCCCAAGATTTCCAGGGAGGTGGAGGTGCAGAGAACACCCGGGCTAGGCCCTGCGCACAGCGAAAAGGCGCTGAGGCCTCCTCACACGCCTGGGCGGACGCAGACGGTCTGCGGGGACTCCGGGCCCCTGCACCGGGGTGCATGCACCCGCACACTGGCAGACCCCCGGCGCACGAATCGCCTGTCCCTTGGCTTCCCTGACCCTCCCGGGCCCGCCTGGAGTTCTCTGCGTCCTTGTGGGTGTGAGCACTCCAGGTCAGGGCCACAGCTGCCGGCATGGGGATGACCCCCCCCCCCCCAAAGCTTCTTGGGTTAGTGGGGTTCTGTGTCGCCTGGTGCAGAAGCTGAGGCCGCGGCGGGGTGCCCCATATGGTCTGGGGTGGGCAGGGGAGGAACGCTGGGCTTGGCTCTGGGACCCTCAGCCGGAAGGGGGTGCCCCCTGTAAACCCATCTGCTGGAGCAGGTGTAACCTGTCCCCACCGTCTCCAAAGTCCGTGCGCGACAGGGATGGGGCGCCGGGGGAGGGGGGTAGGGATAGGAAGCCTGAGTTTGGGCGGGAAGGAAAGCTGCTTGGAAAGGGGGTGCCCTCTGGGACCCTCACACGGCGGGCATCCCAGGAATGGACTTAGGCAGCATGGCACGGGGAGCCAACATCGTGGGGAATTGGGGCTCCCCTCTGCCCCACCTCGGCCCCCTCACCCCCAGAGCCAGGAGCCAGGCCAAGCCCCAGAGACAGGCCAAGGGGAGGAAGATAAACAAGCAGCCCTTGCCCCGCTGTCATCATGGGCGCCATCAGAGCTTTCATTTGGTTGCCTAATGACTCACATCACAGGCAGAGAGAAAAATTGTCAATCGCCCGGGTCCTAATGAATTTTTTTGCAAATTGTAATCAAGCCAGGCCGTCTCAGCCGGCTGATTAATGAGCCCCACGAGGCTCGGCCAGCACCTCAGCTTTTTATTCCATCCCGTCCTCCCTGCACTAAATTAACAGCAACTTGTCTGAGCTTCAAATTAACTCCCAATGATTAATTCTGATGGGGGGGCCTGAGGAATAGCTTGTTCTAATAGGCCCTGGCCGGAGATGCAGCTGGAAATTAATACACTTCCCCTTTGGCTGCCGGCTTTAATCCAAGGTTGGGTTTTGACATCACTATATTTGTTGTTACAATAAATTCCACTTACATCTGCAGATCAAATAATTACGCTTGGGAGTGCCACAGACCTCCGCGCCACCCCCTCCACCCGGGTCCTGGGTTGCAGGGGTCGCCTACTTGCATGTCCCCTCACCCTGCTCAACTGACCCGGGGAGGAATCTCAGGGTCCTTCCACCCGGGAACGCCCACCCAACTGATGACCGCTGGCCCCAGCATCCTGGGGAACGGATGTTCTTTTGCAGAAAGCGCTTGGGAAAACACCCCAGCCGGGTGCCCACACTCTGCCTTAAGTGGGCTTTCCGGCAACCCCAAGAGGCTGTGGGACCCTCTGAGCAGCCTGAGCCATCACCTCCCGGAACTTCTCCCACCCCAGCCCACCCTCGGGTTGGACTTAGGGCAGCTTTGGGTCCCCACTGGCGCCCCGACTTCTTACTCAGGATCTTTGCCACTCAGCGGGGTTGGTGCCTGCGGCCTCAGCCTCTGTCCAGGGTCAGCACCGCCTCTGGTTCCGCTCACCTGGCTCCATCTTTCCCCGCAGTGTCTGGCCAGCCCACTTCCTCTGACCCAGCCAGAGGCTCCCCGGTGTACCCCTGGACGCTGAGAGAGTGGCCCTGGTGGCTTCTGATCACACCCAAGCCCTGTCCGGGGGCCTTCTCGGCTCCCAAAGGCAGCCGCTGCACCCGAGTGTCCGTGAGAGGCCACTGCCTGTGCCTGCTGGCTCTGATGGCAGCCAGCCTTGGCACCCTGTCCTCGGGCCAGCAGAGACTTGAATGACCCCTTAGCAGATTGGCCTGGCAGGCCAGGGTGTGGCCTCTCTGGGTGTGCACCCGGCCCCCTACCCGCCCCCCCCCCCCCCCGCGGGGTGCAGAGTGGCCCACAGCAGCTCTGATACCCGAAGGCCTCCTGGACGGCCACTGCATGTTGTAGCCTCTTCCGCAGCATGGCACCGCGGCTCTGAGAGAGCCCGGGTCTGGGGTCTGCGGGCACCCCCCACCCCAGGTACCAGGAGCCGCTGGGTGAAGGGAGCAGGGACGGATCCATCTTCATTTCGGGCCCCTTATGGTGTAAACAGGAGAAATATGATCTTGGTAACCGAACTTGAATGCAAATGACAGCGTCAGAGTAATAAAGCACCTGAAACACGCCACACAAAAGCAACACCATATGTGTGGGGACAACCGGCATCAATTATGAATTGCATCATAAAAATTGATCGTCTATTTGAACTGCTCGGGAGCTCACTTCCGCCCCGTGAGTCTCGGGGGCAAGGTCAGGGCCCTTGGCCTAGGTTCCCGGGAGGCTCCTGCCAGGGCCGCAGGCCACCTGGGGGCAGTGGACGCGGACGGGAGCTCACCCTGCCTGGGAGGGGAAAGGCCGAGCCCTTGGCAGCCCAGAGTCTACACCCCGGGAAAATGCACCTTCACCCCCAGGCCCAGTGGGACGGCTCCTTGCACCCCCTTTTCCTGGCCAGCAAACGGCAGGTGGTGATTCAGGCTGGTTCCCGTGGAGCTGACGTGCAGTGAGCAGGCTGTGTTGGGTGAGTCCTGGGCGTTAGTTTCTGGGGAGTCCCCGGCCAACCTGTCCCTTTTATACAGGCGCAGAGAGCAGGGCCCTCACCTGTGGCTATGCATGGGCTCAGCATCCTGCCCACTTCCCCTGACCTCCACCCCCAGGCATGGCCGGGAGAGATTCCTGAGTGCAGAGCCAGGAGGACCCCCTGAGCATCACCGGTGTGGCCCCAAACCAAGCCACAACACGGAAGAGAGCTGGCTTCCTGCCCCAGCCCCTGGAGGAGAGAAACGCATCCCCCAGGCCCCCCAGTGAAGTTCTTGCCCACTGAATCCTGGAGTCTAGGGCTCAGGAGCCCCCCAACCTGCCACCAGGCCTCTGAGCTCCAGCAGAGTTCCTTGGCCACTGAGGGGTCCGAGCCCGACCCACAGTTCTCCCCACAGTCCGCTGGTCTGATCTCTCCCCACCCCACCCCACCCCGGGTGCCCCCTCCCCGCGGCCCCGCCTGCTTCCTGGCCTCCCCGCCTCATTGCAAGTAGGACCAGCAGCTCCCCTAACCCGGCCCACCAGGCCAGGGGCACCCCTTCAAGTACATGCACACACACACACACGTGCACACATGCACGCGCACACATGCGTGCACAAATGCATGCATGCACATATATGCACACGTGCACACTCACACAGACGCACACACGCGCACGCGCC